GGGGGGCGCCTCTGGTAGGTCCAACTTCTTTACTTTCCCTCTGCTGTTTCTGTCTGTCTTACTTTTTCCCAGCACTAATTTTGACCACTGTTGTGTCGATGTGCTTCTTTTTTCTCAACAAATAAACAAATTTCGTCTTAGATATAATCGTACCCTTTCTAATAGCCACCTGCACAACGATTTCTCATTTCCTCGCTTGCTTATAATTTTTTTGTACGTTGTAATGACAATAAGATACTATTTTCTCCTATGCAATGGGTATATAGCCGTCTTGGACATTTTGACTGCATTTACTTGTGAATAGAGCTGTGTTTGCCCAAACAGATACAGTCATGAAATCCCTACTGCTTGTGGACGGTACAAACAGTAGTTTTATTGCACTTGTTGGGGCCAGGGGGACTTGCTTCTGTGATGTAGCAATTAAACTCTTGGCTTTTCCTTACAGAAGTCCTGAGATCAGTTCTCGAGTGGAGAAGTCTGTTTTATCATAGACTGTGTTGTGCAGTCGAAATTGTCTGAAACGACCAACCGTTTTTTGAAGGGGAAAGAGGTCATCTTAGACAACTGGTCCTCCTGGATAGTGTCAGCATTATGGGATTAAAGGGAAAATGAAAGAGGGTGGGTGGTTTGGGAGGAGGGGGGGTTGATAGGTTGTTGTCTTGGACAGGTGGTCGTCTGCAGGTTCAACTGTATTCGGGATGCTGTACTGTCTCAGTCCGGGTAGGCCCTGACTGCAGCTCATCTCCAAAATTAGTTCTCATATTTGTTGTGTATGGAAGGATGTTAAGCTTTTCCAACTTAAAAAAACAACCCTAAAATATCATAGTGATGGTATGGCCAATGTCCATCAACGTAACAGAGCAAAGGCAATAGTATTTTTGCGCCCTATGAGGGTAAAAGTAGGTCAATTGTACATACAAGGTTTGGAGATTAGAAAAGCTGACAGGATTGTAAAATCAGAACAACAATCCCGAAAGTTTGAATGAAGCATATTTCTTTGAGAATTGAGTTCGTCTAAATTCGGCCACACAGATGTTAATTAACGAGCCGATAAATTAGCATTACTAGACTCCACAAAGGAGACTACAGTACACTTGTATTGTTCAAGGAAGGCTTTGTAAACTAGATTTGTTTGGTTTTATCAAAGAGAAGGAATCTTGATATTATCATTAATCCTCTTGTTATGATAAAGGTTCTACATGTGCTACTACTGACATTAAAAGGTTTTTGTAGTCGGTGGTAGTGATGATGGTTTCTGAAATTGCTGCCGTTTTCTTTGTTGTTGTTGTTGTTGTTGTTGTTGTTGTTGTTGTTGTTGTTGTTGCTGTTGTTGTTTTTTGTTGTTGTTTGTCTGCCTAATCCTGGCGTTTTAGTAGGACACTCGAGACAGGAACTACTTAATATTATGTCAATGCGTAACTGCACCTTGTATATCGTGTGAATATTATTCAGTCTTAATTTGATTTTTTTTTCCTGAGAAAGAAACGTGTGTACAATAAGCACACCGTGATTTTTCGTTACACTACAGTTGTAATTTGTCTGTCTTATTGTGCCGTGTGTGTGTTGCTTTTGGTGTTGAGTTTTCTAACGTGAATGGTGTCCTCTCTTCTCGGAATGTATTACGGCATTAATTGTTACATCGTTTTCTATTAACATTAATTAGGAGGCAATGGTGTATTTTTCACGGGGGACGGGGAGGGGGAGGAGGGATAGAGTCGAGGTTTCAAGGAGGACACAGTTTACTGAGTCCCCAGTGGTCTGGTGTGAAAGAAATGGTGTACATAATACACACGCAGAACAAGGGTCAGGCGAGCGTCATCAGCTCAGTCGATATAAATCAGGAAATCTATACGCGCCACTCTACTAAGCCTAACGTAATATTCCCAAACATGGGAACGTCACTGCTTTTCGCCTTCTCAGGTACATCCTTCCCAAGGTGTAATGGTTAGCTCATGGTCGACATTGTATACAAAAGACGATAAATTTATTCCAGGGCAGGGTAATATGACAATAATAACAGTTCGTCCATCATGAACTGATGATGACCTTTTAACATCCAAGGAGGAAGAGAAGCTATAGACCTTACAAGCTACAGCAAGTTGGTTACAGGGCACCCCTCCCTCCCTCCGTGTCTGTCCGTCCGTCCGTCCGTCCGTCCGTCCGTCCGTCTGTCTGTCTGTCTGTCTGTCTGTCTGTCTGTCTGTCTGTCTGTCTGTCTGTCTGTCTGTCATCGCAACACTAACTCAGCGAGTTTTCTTTAAGCTTTCCTAAAGACTCAACACCTTGAAGAAGTTTATCGAAGTCTCTTCTTATCGGAATCTTTCATACCACTTTGTTGAGACTATTTGGAAAAGTTTAAACATTAAAACCAAACTATGCCAGCGTACTATTCCGGCTTGATTTTGAATTGTGATGTGCTCTCTTCCTCGTAATAAAGTCATCATATGACGATACCTCCAACATCACGTCCACCTCCGATAAGGCTAAGAGCTCCCATAACAATCCGGATCAAAAGAATTTCGCGTAGGCCAAGAAGAAAAATCCCTTGCACCGCAGACAAGCAGCACAAAACCAACTGAGCTAACATTGAGCGTGTTCTCAAATCCGAATCGTTACATTCTTATTCAAAC